GCGACACCCCAGTGAAAGGAAATGTTTGTGGGGGTGGGGGGCTGATGGTCTGAAGGACAAGGGAAGGGTGGGGGTTGCAAAATAAGGACGTAAGAACATTCAAGGTTGAGAACAGGCCTGCTGGCGCAGCTTGGCACATCGTCCTGCAACAATCTACAGTGTGGCCCAGCGCTAAGCCTGTATCTGAGCACGCCCAAAGTCTCTGTCTCCACTACAAGACTGAGAGGCTCCAACAGTCTTTGGCAGCCCTTTGTGTAAAATAAAGTAGCCATGCTTGATAGATAACATCTTGAAGACCAAGTCATACTCCATACCAACCAAATTTTTGTTACGTAAATTCCAGTGGCAAAGTGGCATGGCATGGCATTTTTCTGTTTCACGAGGGATTTTTACCTGATACTATCGGCTGACAATTCATACTTGTTTAGATTGGAGTAGATGCCAGTTACTGAAGAGAGGCAGCTATGTAAGTATTTACAACACCAAGGCTGGACTGCGAGCTCTGCCACTGCATGAGGAAATATGTTAGCTGGACGATACCCAGGTTGCATTCTGAAGGATGGGTCAGGACAGACTCACTTTGTCTCGCTGGAAAACGAGAACAGGAAACACCAGTATTCTGCAACCCATTCAGTCTAGCACAACGCAAGTTCTATTTAGCTGAGAAGCAGCCCTAAAATAAGCCAGTTTTTAAGCCATAAAATAATGCCACTTTTACCCATTAGTTTTTTTTTCCTGTTTAAATTGCATTATGAAATTTGAAAATACCGCTGACGCACAATAATCCAAATCCGTCAGAGAAATGTTGAGTACTTTGGGCCTAAAATTCAATGCTCTGGCTCTGTCCTATAACAGAGTCTACAGCAGACGGTACAATGAAATTTCAAGCAGCCAAAATCACTGAAACTGGTGTCACTTTGCAGTGGGAGAATGGCTATCAAACTTGAATGACTCAGGTGGAACAGTGAGGTGGGGGTAGGCTTTAGTGGGAGGGGGGTTGAGTTTGGAGGGCACGGGTTGGGAGTGACAGGGTTGGGTTTAGTGGGAGGGGGTTGAGTTTGGAGGGCACGGGTTGGGAGTGACAGGGTTGGGTTTAGTGGATGAGGGGGAGGAGTTTGGAGGGCACGGGTTGGGAGTGACAGGGTTGGGTTTAGTGGGAGGGGGTTGAGTTTGGAGGGCACGGGTTGGGAGTGACAGGGTTGGGTTTAGTGGATGAGGGGGAGGAGTTTGGGGGTAAAGTGAGAGAAAGAGGGGGTTAGGAGTAATTTTAAATGAGTGTATCATGGGGGAGGAGCAGGGTGGTGTGGAGTGTAAAGAACAGGTGAAGTTGGGAGAGGTTAAAATGGGGGGATTGGGGTTGGAAAAGGGTCAGTTGAAGGTTAATGTCAAAAATAAGGCGGGATTTCTGGGGACATTTTCAGACCAGGGCCCCGGTCAGTGCCAGAGAAGCAGTGAGGGTTGCCAGGGTGAGGGAGAAAGGCACCATGGAGGGGAGTCCTGGGGCGGCGTTGCACAGATCCTCCGCACAGCAGGTCTTGTTCATGGTGTAAATTGTGTGGTTGTCAAAGAACGGGACCTGGGTCACCTTGTTGCACTCTGCAGTCGCTAGACAGCCCTTCATTTTGATTGACAGCACTTTCGCTGTGAAGAGATGGAAAGGAGCTCGCGTTTGTTCTGCATTCACAACAATTTTTCCATTTGTTTTTTTTTGTTATTTAGAATGGGAATGTGGGAAAAAGAGAAGGAGAGAGAAGGAAGGAATATAGAAAATGGGGGATGAGAGTGGGGATGAATATACAAAGGGGAAAGAGGAGAGAGAATGAAGGAAAACAGAAAATGGAGGAGCAAGGAGGGGGAGGAGATGGGTGATTGTGAGGTCTTACCTGCTTTCCCTTCACCGCTGAAGCACTGCTCCCCAGCTTTGCACGTGGTCTTAGAGGTGATGCACAGGTTCCAAAGACCCACGTCACATTTATAGCATTCTAAAGCCTGACCTGAGGAGAGAGAGAGAGAGAGAGAGAGACTGTCAGGTCTGTGATTCTGCAGAAATACTGTCAGACATGGGCTCTGGCAGCAACTGTGAGCAAGCAATACATACTATGATACTTAACAAAAACTACCCCAGATGAACGGGGAGAAACCTGGAAGATGGTGCTAATTATGCAGAAGAGGTGTGTTTTGTACATGTACCTGGTATCCTCCGCTACGAAAATTTTGGCTCTCAGAATGATTTCATAGTGTTAAGAAAAATCAGGGTAGATTTGTCCACTTTTTTGGATTTCAGTATTTCTGCAACATTCTTAATTTATTGGACACTTGTCCGCCATGATGTTTTCTCCATGTTTTCATGATAATGACTAGGGAATGATGCCATGTTTGCGTTTGTATGCTACATGACTCGACATGACTGGAAGGTTATCTATTTTTTACCTTGGCTTTGAACATGTTTTGAAACGCTCAATAACACTCAGGAAATTTTTGGGGACTGCTCTCGTTGTAACGTTTTCCCACACCCAAATGGAAATGAAGTCTCTCAAGAGTGTTCCTGTGCTTGTTGTGAAGGTTCCTGGCTTGGTTTCAAACAAAGCCTTTGTTTCAGTCTTAATACAAATGGAAGCCAAGAGCCAGAGGCCTTATACGCGACCCCAGATGTTTCCTCTTTGACAGTGTGTCTGGAAATCCGGCAATTATTTTTCAAAATTTTTATCTTATTCATTTATCTATTTATTTATTTTTGTCACTGGTGTCTGCCAGTTTATTGCGGTCATCAGATTTCAGAATGTGGACTTGGTTGTTCCACCAAAACTTGTTTTTGTTTTTTATTATTGTCTATTCCTAATCTTTTTTTTGTACTGGAGAACCATCACAGAGCTGTGTGGCTCAGAAAAACTTTTTTAAATTGGAGTCTTGCCTACATGAGATCATAAGTAGTAACTAGTAGTAGCAGCTGACCTTTTTTGTTTTAAAAAAAGGGTTTTAGCTATGTTATTTCACAACAGAAGCAGTTCTCTGTCAAAGCTGTGAGCCTGACAGCGAGGCTAGAGACCCCAGAATAGATCCATTGTTTAGCGTGGGGAGGTCAGAGGTCACGTACACATTGTCGCGGTTTCCCTCACAGACCAGCGCTTACAGACAGGTGAAACTCCCAGAGCGTAGCTAACCCTATGCCTAAACAGCCCCCACAAAGTACTGAGCTGTTTTCAGACAGCTAATCCACGAAACCCGAAAACCTGTCTGGCAGGTGCGAGGGATAAAGAATCACACCCCTAGCACGTTCACACAGGAGTGCAGGAATTTGCAGATAGAGGCATGCCTCCCTGTCATGAGAACGGTAATTTAACGTGTCTAATTTAAAAACATTTCTGGCATAAGTTCCCATGAAATTAAAGAATGTATACAGTACTACTGGACCCCAACAGAGGGGGATGACCCAGAGTCTCACCAGCTGCCACTGGAAGTCATTAACTTAACCGTACTGCTACTATCCGTTTACTTTACACTTATTGTTTTTGTCTCTGTTCTTGCTATTATTGTTACTGTTTTATTACTATTTGAGTCTGTATGATTCATGTACGCTATATTCCACGTATTACAATACAGCACTGCGTTTACTCTTGTTTAACTCTATGTCTGCACGGTGCTGGCTGGATGAAGATGGGCTCCTGCTCTCAGCCAGGTTCTGCTCGAGGTTTCTTCCTGTTCGTCTGGGATTTTTTCCCTGCCATTATTGCCCTGGCTTGCTCTGATGGGGTTTCAGGCCAGGGATCAATTGTAAAGCTGCTTTGTGACACATTTTTTTAATTTCAGAAAATTTAATTGAATACTACAGCGCTGCCATTCTGTAGTATAATGTCTAGAGTGCTGGGCTTATAACCCCAAGGATTATGATCCTCAAGGTTGCAGGTTCAATTCCAAGAAGGGGCAAAGCAGTTGTACCCTTGAACAAGGTGCCTAATCTGGATTGCTTCAATAAAATATCCACCTATATACATTGATAGCTTGTTCAAATATACAGGTTGAGCATCCCTAATCTGAAATGCTCCAAAATCCAAAACTTTTTGAGCGGCGACATGACTCCACAAATGGAAAATTCCACACCTGGTTTAAGCGATTTAGAACCATCCATACATACGACTGAAAAGAAATACTGTATACATTTTTAAAAATAAACAAAAAATATATACAAATATAAAAATGTGCTAACGGCTGAATTTGTACGACGATATCCCGGTATTGTGTACTTCTACATGCCGTGCTAACATACGTCCGACTTATGTCCGTTTCGAGATACGACCGGTCGGCCAGAACAGAACCCGGACGTATGTCGGGGAAAGGCTGCATATGCAAATATTCCAAAATCCAAAAAAATCCCAAATCTGAAACTCTTCTGGTCCCAGGAATTTCGGATTAGGGATACTCAACCTGTGCAGGATGGCCCTCTGCATCCTTCACTGACTGTTTGCAGTCAGTGCAGTCTGTCTTTGAGCTGATGACAGGTGGCCCGACACAGCCCGAGGTTCAGAACAGCAAACATCACGACAGAGCAGCTTCAGTGCAGCCCAGGCTTTAGTTTGTTGTACACATCATGCACAATCAACCATTTTACAAAAGCGTGAACAAATAAACAGGATATTCAGGTTCTCCTCTCGATGAAGCTTTGTCTGGTACAAACTTATAGCGTGGGGTTGGGGGGTGCTTTCAAGTTCAAACAAAAACATGAAACCTTCTGAAATGTCAGGGGAACAAGCTAACCCCCCCATGTCAGTTTCAGTCAGGCCTGCCTCCGTGAAGCATTACCATCTGACAGCTCAGGTTTCATGTCATATGGTGCTTCCTGCGGCTTCTTTGTCTTCTCGATATACAACATGCCCTCTTGATAGTGCAAAAGACCTCTGAGTCATCATTGATGATTATTTTTCATTTGCAAATATTTACAAACTCTCTTGGCCATTCAATAAATTTGTCTATTTACCATATGTTAAAAAGAACTTGTATTGTGTGCCCCAGTAGCTCATCTGATAGAGTGCATGCCCCACAAGACCAAGGCCCCACCGCAGTGGCCCGGGTTCGAATCCAGCCTGGGCCCGTTGCTGCATGCACTCCCCTCTCTCTCCCATGCATTTCCTCTCTGTCCCTCTTCTGCAACTGTCAAATGAAGCGGAAAAAACCCCCAAAATAAAATCTTCAAAAAAAAACAAGTATAGTATGTAAGAAAAAAATCATGAAGGCTTAAATAGAGGTTTCTGTTTTGCATATTTTACATTTTTTTTTGTAGAAATATAAATGTAGTTTAAGTGGTGACAGCACATAATTGGTTTTGTGGTAACAAACCCTTTTTTTCCATGAGTAGCTATCTATTTACTAAGCAGTTTGCTTGACTTGTCACAGATTTGTAATAGATCTGTGAGAGTGAAGAAGTCGATAGCTATTTTATCTTTTAATCATCTCCCCTTCCCAAAGCCGTGTAAATTTAATCTAAATACAGTTTCAGTTGATAGTGAGATTTCCTCATAGCAGCAAAAGCTATCAAATGCCTGCTTCCTGATCATTTCATCGCAAGAAGCCCGGTCGCTATGGTTTCGTCTTTTCGCAAAACAAATACTTGCGTGTAGCAATCGACTTTTACTTCGGTCTCTGCGGTTTCTCTGACCGACAGATTATAGCCCTTTGGATGGAGACTTAGCAATGCTCCTAGCAGCCCTTCTGCCCCCCCCTCCCCCCACCCTATTTGGACCTATGAAGAGTGCTAGTACCAATGGGACTAAGTGCAGTGCAGCACAGGCTACAAAAATGAAGTTGGGCGGCTTGTGTGCCAGCATGTTCTGGCATGCTCTCAATCTGGCAACAGCAAAAGACACAGTGCATAGCTGTACATGCTGTTATTGTTGCTGTTATTGCCTAATGTCATGCAATAATAGGTTCCTTTCGGGGGTGTGGCTGGGGTTTGATAGACACAAAGCAAAACAAAAACAACCCAGTGGCAAGTTTTTGGCAGCAAACACCATTCATTTACCTCTGTTTCTGTAATAATTATATACATTTATTTGTTTTACGCCGGAAAATGTACAGTGAAAAACATTCTTGACGTCGCACTTAACCTGCTGCTTTTTAATTGGCCATCACATCAGTCTTTGTGCCGGGTTCTAGCCAATCAAATTCTTCCCTCAGGTCTCCTCTGTCTGGCTTGCTACTGAATACCTTCAGCAAGTGTACATGCAAATGATGAGTGATAAAAGCATTGTGTTTTTATCTAAATAAGAATAAGCCTTTCAGGTCATGTGGCATTTTGTTTTCTTGCAGTCCTGCAGGCTGTTCAGCATGTTCTCCATTCATACTGGATAATGCCCAACCGCAAAAGAGGTTCTGTGCTGGGCAACGATGAGGTTGCAAGTTTGACTCCCAGGTGGCACAGGTAGATCCACCACTGACCAGTGTGTTACAGCTTACCGCAGCGAAAGAGAACAACATTGACACCACAGATCTCTATTGACAAGGGCGACGCATGGCAAACAGCATGAGAATATTATAATAGTTTTTGTTGTTCATCATTACAAAAACAACTCTTACATTATTCAGAAGATCGTGGGGAACATTTTGTTGTAGGTTTCAAATTACTGTAAGGGTTACCATTCATGCTACTGTTCAGCGATCGTTGCTGTGTTTTATTTATGTATTTACCATATTTAAATGAATGATTAGATTTGGCACAACCTGATGGCAAAGTATGATACAATATCTTCTTATGCAACTAAACAGATATTAGAAATAACATAATTAGAAATGTGTCATTATTAACCCAATATCAATCAACAATATTAATAAGGAGAAAACAAATGTAGTAGATATACAAAATAAAGCATAAACGATCTTTACATGTACAGCAGGTGTATTAAGGCCACAGACTGAAGAGATGTGTGTGTGTGTGTTTGTGAGTATGTGAGTGTGTGTGAGTGTGTGTATGTGTGTGTTTGTGCGTGTGTGAGTGTGTGTGTGAGTGTGTTTGTGCGTGTGTGAGTGTGTGTATGTGTGTGTGTGGGTGTGTGTGTGTGCATGTGTGAGTGTGTGTGTGAGTGTGTGTGTATGCGTGTGTGTGTGTTTGTGTGAGTGTGTGTGTGTGTGTTTGTGCGTGTGTGAGTGTGTGTGAGTGTGTGTATGCGTGTGTGTGTGTTTGTGTGAGTGTGTGTGTGCGTGTGTGAGTGTGTGTGTGTGGGTGTGTGTGTGTGTGTGTGTGTGTGTATGCGTGTGTGTGTGTTTGTGTGAGTGTGTGTGTGTGTGTGTTTGTGCGTGTGTGAGTGTGTGTGTTTGTGTGAGTGTGTGTGTATGTGTATGTGTGTGATTGTGCGTGTGTGAGTGTGTGTGTGTATGAGTGTGTGTGTGAGTGTGGGTGTGTGCGTGTGTGTGTGTGTGTGTGTGTGTGTGTGTGTGTGTGTGTGTGTGTGTGTGTGTGTGTGTGAGTGTGTGTGTGAGTGCTCAGACTCCTTGCCACACTGGGGTCACACATTCCGGTGGTGTCTGAGTAACACACAGAGAGGCTGCTGAGTCACCCTCATGAACTTTTAGAGGCTGCTGCACACACACACAAACTCACTCACACACACACACACACATACTACTCAGACCCTACTTCAGCCCTAACTCAAACACACACAGGGGAATGTGCCTCTCAGCTAGCAGCAGAAACTCTGACTCATGGTGAACTGGGGAAACCCCTACATGCTCACATTTACTCATTTATTATATTTTCATAACTTCACTGTCAGACTGGGCGCTTGGTGAAAAGAGCAAATTGGAACGTTCAACTCAAAACGTTTGCTTTGTGTTGACTGATTGATTGCTTTCATGGGGGGGGGGCTCTGGGCTGTATTTATTTCAGTGTGACACCTTTTTTGTCACACCAGAAAATCCAGTCCGTCCACAGCACCTCACGTATGCTACTATGTTACCCATAATTCCCTGGTCCCTGCTCCACCACTCACCGCCCTGCCAGCAGCGCCACCCTGTTTCCTTTTGTTGCGTCAGGGGAATGGACTTGCACAACAGCGCATACGCGCTAACTACAAACACTCCACAGAGGGAGGGAGACATTTCAGGAAGGTGACATCATGACATCATGGTCACAAGACACCTGTTGACGAATGGCTTTTTTAGGTCGCCACGCCCATTCCAAGTGGGTGCGGAGGTGGGAATGGGGTGAGGGGAGGGGCAAGCAAGCATCTCACGCCGCTGTGACGCATATCCTATCAGGTCACTATGGCGACGGGCCTAATCCGGCTCCGGAACCATCCTGCTGTGGGTCAGGGTCAGCAGGGATGGAGAGGGGTTTTTTTTAGTGTTGTAGTTTAGTTCTGCACATGCCGTTTCCCACAGTTCTGTGACAGGGATGCCAAAAAAGCCCAAAACTTTTCATACTTGGTATTGGGTGGGCGGGGGAGACGTATAAAGGGGTTGGGTATAGATGGGTGTCCCCCCCCACCCCTCATCCTTCCCACCGATGATGTACTAATTGGGACACACTTTGGCATGTATGAGACATGGTGGAGACGCGTAGTTCCAGTTAACGCTGTGAGGTCACAGGCCAGCACGGGAGTCTCACTCTGCTGTGGATGCCCTCTTACACAGCTACGGCGACGGCTCCACATCACTGTCATAAAACCACATCAGGGTGTAACGAGCTGCAGGTTTCAGTGGCACCGGAGGCTGTATGGCAGTACGCACTGGGCGTGCCAGAACGGCTTCAGGGTTTTTTAATGTTGATCTTCAATCCTTAATTATGTTTATATGAAACCAAGCTGAATTCTACCATGTATAGTGCAAAAGGCTAAAGCACAGCTGGAGATTGGCGGTCATTAGTGAGGTTTTGCATTCTGACACCCGATTGCAACTGCAATTTGCTCCAACAGAGCACCTGCATTGTCTCATTGACCATTCTGGTCTCAGCTTCCTGCAATTTTATTGGTTCCCACAGTTTTCTGAGGGAGGATTTGATTGGCTCAGAGGTTTTGTAAAAACATTCCTAGAGTCTTGATATACATCAGCAGTAGGAAGTGACTGTTGGTTCACTGGCAAAGCAAGCAGAGCAGAACATTTTTTAAGTCTGACGGTTTTATGCCACAGAAGAGCAAGGACACTAGTCATGGCTCATGCATATGTCATGATTATGAGCTATGGTAAGCAACAGAAACCGCCAAACACTGATTACAATAAAGGAAGACAGGAGAGCATCTTAAAACTTTATATCACAGAAGCAATTTCAGCAATCTTGCATTCTAGTCAAACCAAGAAATACATTATAAAAATAGCATAATAATAAATAAAAATACAAGTTGGCCATTTCTCTTCTGCTTTCTTCATATACATATGAAGTCTGGGTCCATCAAAAAATAACCTAAGTAATAAATCAGTTAGGCGGGGCCATCACAGAGTTATACAGGAATGACCAGAAGCTTCAACATTGTTGGGATTTAAACCATCTTTTCTTCAGTGCGCATTTCTATGCCTCATTGATTTCTAAGCCAAGCCACTGAAATTCCATATTAATTAAAATTATTAAAGTATTAAACCATTAATTAAAGTCTGTCTCTGATAAAAATATAATACATTTTAAACGGTTGTATGTGCAGAATGCACCCGCACACTGTAGTTATCAGTTTTGGCTGAGCTTGCCTGTCTCAGGTAAACAAATGTATGTGACAATTCCTTACACACCCATGTGTTGATTGCAGAGAGAGTAGGACGATCGCCGCAACTGAAAAGTGCAGCAAGTCTGTATTACTTCTGCCCCCTACTGTCTACACACTGTTACTACAACACACAACTGTTGCCACCGTGCTGGGCTGCTGGGTTATCATCGGCAACAGTTAATAAGGATATTAATAGTGTGAAGTCGGGTCTCACCAAGGCTAAGTATTTCAGACCCTCTGTTGAAGAGGTTACAACGTTATGCAGTGCATGTGACGCTGAGAAATTCGCCTGTGTGACCACCAGAGGGCGCTATTAACCAGCGGATGACAACAGCCACTCCAGTTCAAGGTGGTGCAACAACTGCGCGCTCAAAGGGTTTTCAACTATTTTTCTGTAACGGTGATG